ATAGAGACAACTTGTAGGGATTGAAGTGAACAATCGTTACGTAATTAAAAATTGATTATCGTCTATCCATTAGAAGTATGAAAATCGGAGCAAGCAACAATCTTTTTGATGCCGAAAAAGCTAGAAGTCGTACCTAATGCACAATGTTGCTCAAATATTCGTACGCTGCTATTCCGAGCTCCTAAAAAATAACCATTTTTTTTGCACAATACATTGACTATTTGGCGACTACTGTGAAGGAGTGGGTGGTCTATTTCAGATTTCTGACTAAATAATTGTTAATTTGTGAAATAAAGACATATTTATTGTGTTATCTCTTGATTCTTATTTGAAGTTTTTGTTTCAATTTAGCATACTTCGACTATCATATTTTCGCTTACGCGATTTCTTCGTACGATTTGAGTTTGCTTTGAATCTCAAAAACCTTTTGATAATTTTGGTTTTTAAATTGTGGCAACCAGGAATTTCCAAAGGTAATGATTTTAAAGACTTTTCAAGAGAAGAAAATTGATGCTTGGTTAACTGGAGGTTATTTTCAAAATGCTGGTTGATGCTTTCTTCCATACAAATAAAAAAATAAAATATGGATCGTGTAACAAAAACAAATGGCTTCTGACGAGCTCTGCCCAGTACTCTCATTGCATCTGTGACAATAAAATCAGCTCCTACATTACAAAACTCAACCCACCGTGCTTGAAGCAATGGATCGTTTGGAAACCGGTGAAACAACACATCCGGGTGGGTTTTCTTGTTCCGGCCGCAACGCTTCACTTGACAACGCATTTTATCTGCTGTGTATCACTTTTAACCTCCTCCTAATCACCAGAATTCACAAAATCAAACCCGTTTAATACGAACCCGATAGCTCTAAGCAATATGCAGTAAGATACTTGCTCACAACATACAGTTCACGACAAGTTTGAACACTCCGACGGCAAAACTATATCAACAAACCGAGTGACAAACGCGCATCCTCGCTTGAATGATTCTTTCCATCAACAATTTTTTCAACAAAAAGGAAGAAAAAGAAGACAACCAAAACAAAGCATCTGTCATTTGAGCTGGCTCCTCTCTCTTGGTTTTAAACCAAAAAATTAAGTTTAATTTTGAAAATTTTCGTAGATGAAACTACAAAATTTGGGGTACTTTTAGTTTGATAATGCATTATTTTTATAGCAACAATTTTTATTCTTTATGTGTATGCATATTCGAAATCTGCATTACAAATGCAACCGAAATCCAAAATTTCATCAAGTTTGAAGCACTGGAATTATTTTTATATAAATTATAAGTGTGATTACATTAGCAAATATCACCATCTTAGCGTCCCTTGTATGGAAGTGAGCTGTCAATTTGCTAGTTTAGTGTCAAACAGTGCAGTTTTTATGTTGCTATGTATCTTGATTTGATAATCGAGATGAAAGTCTATGGGTTCGAAAAATATCCTTGTGCTTATAAAACCAAGTAAACCTATAAATTTTTCTAAAACACATATGCATGCTCGCAGTTTCCCTTCTTCTTCCAATCGTTTTTCTTTCCACAGACCTCAATTAAAAATACCATACCCGAACGATAACCCAAATGATAGAACTTTTCCGCATATGCTTTGAATGTTACCCTGAACAAAATAACCATACAAATTTGATTACATGCCAAGGGGTAGGTCACTCCGCACACCAATTTTTGGTCATCTTTTTTGTCAGTGTGCCTCAAGTGTGCCAATTGTTCCGGTCATAGCGCAAGCTGCGATTGTTTGTAAAATATCAATCTCGGCAACCCGGTATTTCTGACACCTTGAATGTTTTGGTTTGAAATCGGAATGAGGATGACGTGGCGGGTGTGCGAAATGTTGGTGTTTTGCGTTCATAGGATAATAAAAGTCCTGTGTTTTAGTGTTTTATAATGCCCTCAAAGGCAGACCAGAAATCTAGCCTTTCGTGATGTGAAAAGCAGCGGCAGGAAATAGTGGGGGGTGGTAACATTGTTGGAGACCGACTTTAGAGGATGATCGACATGACTTCTATAGTTTGTTTTGTGTGAGTTGCAGTATTATTTGAATGTAAGGGTACTAATGGGGTCTGAATAACTGCTTCTTTCTCGTAAGCCCACTCTAGAATCTAAATTTTGTATTTAGATCTATAAGTGAACCGAGAAGTAAGCTGGTCAGAGTTCCTCTTGAATATTCAATTAGAGGATGTCAGCAGCAGTCAAACAGCACGTAATGTTGTGGACAACTTCAATGACAGTTGTCCAGCAGTGCTCCCATAGTATTTACAACAATCTAATGCCTACGAGATTGTGCCGAAGGTGTGCCAACTCTAATTTCGACACAATGTGCTGAGTGACTTACCCCTTGTTACATGTATAAATGCGAACCATTGCTTGACCTTACCAAAAATGGTTAAAAATTCTAGATAGAGCTGGAATTAGTAGTAACAGCTTTTGTAAACAATGACTTTTCTCGTTGATTTCTAGGAATTCAAGGCACGCCTTCACAAACAAACATCACCATCGGGTAGGGGAACTCTTCCCCTACTCGATGGTGACGTCAATTTGACAGGGAGAGCCATGACTTTCGAGAAATCGACGAGAGAAGTCATTGTTTACAAAAGATGTTACGCCCTAATTCCAGCACTATTAAGAATTGTTTATAATCCCGGCTAAACTTTAACTGAAATGGTTATGGAACTAAACATGAACGTTTGTGAGATAAAGTTTCAACCTTATGTGTTATGGTTTTTTGTAAGTGATACTTACAAAAATGAGTTGTAAAGAACCATTACCATTCCAACAAGCAGTGGGATCCAAACCAAGACAATAATCCAGAGACACTCCAACTGGACAAACTGACCCGACCGTTGCAGATGCTTAGCAAAGACAGCATCGAAACGCATATGATGGCATTCAGAATTTAAAGCCACCGGGGCAAGTTGTTGCTAATGTTGAACTGAAACTAATTTGAGGATCAAAATTGGCAGTGGAGATCAGATGACTACCTGGCAGCAAACCGGGGCCACGTGGATGTTTAAGGTGGTCAAGGTACCTACTTGCTATCCGTTGACGGCAATCGAATTTCAGATAAGGGTTGATGCATATATTATGTCACGCTCTAGGGGGGGGGTCTAAGATTTTGTGACAAGCAATACATTAGGTATAGGAAAACGTCACGATAGAGGGGGGGGGGGGTAAATTTCTCCTATATTTAGCGTGACATAATTAATGCATGGGCCCTAAGTAGCTTCCACACCTGGGTATATATCGCATCCATCAACACGTGGGTCGAGACCAACGGCTCTACCAACAATCAATACGAAACTAACGATTTTAAATTGGCTCACCACTTTAGTAGCCTATTGGTCCCAAGCAAACGATTAACGTACCCTATTCTAGTTGAAATTCTATTACTACACTATGTTTGTTTTGATTCGCTATGAAAGTTTGACAGATAACATCAGGGGTGTGTGGATTCATGCAGAACATGCAGGGGTGAGTGAAATAGCTTGGGACTGCTTGGGACCGTTGTTCTGGTACTGAGTGAGCCAAAAATAATAATGATTTTCTTCGGGACCCAGTGGTCTTAGAGTTACCTCTATGGCTCTACTTCACAGCAAAAAAAAATGTAATATCGATCAACGTAATTCAAGCTGATGTATGAAATAATGATGTAATAGCAAAAAGCAGATACAATTTTACATCAATGGATGTAATTTTGTTCGCAAAATCGATGTACATCGTACAATGTGATATTACACAACCGAGGGATTGACCTGGTTGCAGCAGTTTCGATGTAATATTCAACAACTTTTTTTGCTGTGTTCCCTTCCTAAGAAGCCGTGACCGAAGATTTTTACGCACGGAAAAAAAAATCCATCGACCTCGGCTGGGATCGACCCCAGGTACGCTGGGGTCAGAGACGAGGTTTTATAAGAGTCGCGTGGTGAGATTAACAGTTAATCTGGATGCCCGCCCAACTAAGTTATTTTGTCTGCAAGGTTTAGAAACTGGCAATTTTGTGGTTACGTCGAGTGACTTAATTTGAGCGACTGTCGTCTGCTTCAGCGTCACAGTAAAACCACAAACGAAGTGACAGACGACTAACTGGCGAAGAAATCGATTAAAATAATGTGGTTCACTGTAATAGAATTTTCTTAGAAGCTTATGCCATCATCCACCAGATGGGATAGTATTTTTGTTTTGGTTTTGCACAACGTTGATTTTGTGTACAATGATTCTTTGATAGTGTGCAAAGAGTGTATTATTTTGTCATTTTTTTTATGCATTTCAGTTTTGAGTAGAGTGAAAGAGATAGAACCAAAACATTCTAGTATATTTGGTGAAAATGCTAGTTCAATCCAGTAGTAGCATAGAGGTAACTCTAAGGCCAGAAGTTCCCGAAGAAACGTGCTCAACTTTTTGGCTCAGCTCTGGTACTCTCTTCGGTCTCAAGCTAATCGATTCACCCCTCGAAACATAGAAAAAATCCACTAACCCCTCATTTTATCTGTCTAACTTTCATAGCGAATCAAAACAAACATAGTGTAGTACTGGAATTTATACTAGAATGGGATACGTTTATCGATTTGCTTGGGACCAATAGGCTAGTCAAGTAGTGATTCAATTTAAAATCGTTCGTTTCGTATTGATTGTTGATACACCTTTTCAAGTCGGGTAGATGAGTCGAAAATACTTAAGTTGAGTTTAATTGCCATTTTAGCTGTTCCAACAAACGGATTTCTACGGTGCTTTCATGCTTTTCATCGTGAAGCGCTCGTGTTTACTTACATTGCTCGATTGGAACCGCGTTTGACGGTTTGATTTGAACTTTTGGTTTCCAGTCTTCACGCGTCTCTTATAAAATATCGTCTCGTGAGATTGTTTATATTTCGAGTTAGGCCTTTCCGACTTATATCACCTGAATGCATGCTCGTCCAGGACGCAGCCAATCGATAATTCGCAACGTGTCTACAAACAGCTGTCAAAATTTGTTTTCATCGTTCCATCTGCAGCAGCTCTCAGTGCAGACGTGAACAGATTTTTGTCCGATTTTGCTAAATAATTTAAAGGTTTTAAGCATATAAAATTATTGAAGAGATTCGAGACTACATATTTCTAGTGTTACTAAGTTGAAGAAGTAATCAGTTAAGTGCGTTAAACATGGCGTAAGTGCAGGCTGATACTCCTGGATGTCGGGTTATACTTTCACTTTTTCCTTTATTCCACAGATCGAAAGTTACATTTAAAATTACGCTCACTTCGGATCCCAAGCTCCCGTTCAAAGTGTAAGTACCAATCACTTGCGCCTGTTTATATATGATTGCGTGACCAACGTAAAAACATTCTCGCTCCAGGCTTAGCGTCCCGGAGGCAACTCCTTTTACGGCCGTCCTTAAGTTTGCCGCCGAAGAGTTCAAGGTCCCGCCGGCAACGAGTGCCATCATCACCGACGACGGTATCGGTATCAATCCGCAGCAAACGGCCGGCAATGTGTTCCTGAAGCACGGCTCCGAGCTCCGGTTAATCCCGCGGGATCGCGTGGGGTCACCACAATGAAGGCAATGAGAAGGGTTTATAACGCGCTTATAGGATTAGCCTGATTCAACCTATGCGAAATTCCAGCTATCACGAGCATTTTAGATGAATTTTAGCTTCGAAAGCATATGGAAGCTTATCTGATGATTTTTGTTTGTTTTGTAACTCGGTTCCATTTGTTTGAGTTTTGTAAGTATTTAAAAGCAAGAATATAGATAGATCAGTTTATTGAAATGGAATCCGGCGTGTCAGGCGGGGGCTTTCTCTGAATAAATATTACATTCCTATGATACTTGGCTAATAATCTAATCCATGTTTTGTCGAACCCATCTGAGAAATTTCGATACATCGGTAAACACCGAGTATCGATTTGGGTCACACATTAGTTGATTGCGTTTCTGGGCACTGATCGATACGATTCCCCGCAGATAGTATCGATAGTCGTCGACGAATACCAAGCCTCCACCGCTATCTCCATTGCACACAGAATTTCCTGGAAGTGGAATAAATGATCGTGGTCAAGTTAGGTTCATAGTGATAGCATAAGTTACGTACCATCAGCATGTCCAGCGCAGAACGATTCCCCAAAAGCCAGAACCGTATTGTACTGTATGTTTGTCTGTGAGCATTTCTTTTGCGACACCACTGGCATATCCAGATAATTCAAATGGTTGGTAACGACTCCACTTCGATTAATGCCCCATCCGGCTACCTTTCCGTATCGGCTGTAGAACGCACTGATGTCCGTCGTGTTTCTATACAGACAGACTGGTTTTATGAAATTGTTGAAAATAATATCTCGTTTCAGTTTTAAAATGCCAATGTCGGTCGTCTGTGTGGCTGAATTGTAGTCTCGATGAATGACTGCACTCTCAGCGGTATGAAAGAAATAGTCATCTATCAGGCCGATATCCACGATACCGATGTACACCTTGAAGAGGTCCATTTCCAGCGTTTCGTTACTATTTTCCTTCGTAAGACAATGTGCGGCCGTTAGAATGTTCCGCTGTGAAATGATACTGCCACCACACTGGTATTGCTGAAATTCAGGAATATTTTCAACTCATTTAAACTAGATTATGGTTTAGAATGTAGACCTACCTCGTCATAGTAGATGGCAACGTGCCACGGAATTTCACCGGATTTGGCATTTGTTCCTCCGATGATCCTAGACTGCACCACCGGTTCAGTTGAAGGATAAACCGTGGCGCAGTCGCTATCGTCGTATTGTTCCTCCGAATCCCCTCTGCCACTGGTCTGAAGTTCAATGTTATTAAATGACTTAGATCAAGCATTTCGTCATCTACTTACAGTCGACCGTTCAAACGACGATTCCGTGGTCGAGCTGCTCCATGACGGTCGAGATTCGCCAAATACACCGAGCGAGGTTTCGGTTGTGATGGAAACTCGCCGTTTCCGCTGCCGGCATACGTCCCGACCGTTGAAGTTGACTTCCTGGACGTCCGGAATGCGACCATTCTCGTTGAACTTGACGAAAAAGTTTAGCGTCACTTCGGCATCCGCAGCCAGTGCCAGTGTGCTATTTTCAAGCACGAACCGAATGCCGTCGGTGGTGTGCACTTCGCCGAATAGGTTCTGAGGAAAATATAGATTGCATTGGTTTTGGAATCAACATAGTTATTACAGGTTATTACCAATTTAATGTTAAATTCAACCTTTATAAATAACTTTACATATAATCCACTGAATTCGACCGAAAATTCCATTGGAATTTTCTTTAGCATACATTAAGTATTTTCTCAAGTTTTCCTCTTAGATTTTGCATAAAATAATCATCAAAATTGTCTTTATATCGTCCTAAGAAATTCTCTGGAATTCTTCTAGGAATTCTGCTTACGATTCACATTGAATTATCCTCTGATATTGTCTTCATAATTGTCAAAAATGCTTCCGAAAATTCCAGTTATCCTCAAAATTTCTTTGTAAAAATATGTAGAATTCCATTTACTTGCAATTGTCAGCATTCCCATCAAGTATTTTAAGAATATCCTTTCTTATTATGCTCTGAATATCCTTTGCCATCTCTTCAGATTTTCGTAGTAAAGTCTCCTTAAAAATCACACGAAATATTTCTAGGTACCTATGCATTAAAAATGGAACCGAAATCCAAAATTTCATAAATTTTGATACACTGGGAACTATTATAAATAAGTATGATTACATTAGCAAAAATCAACATCTTAGCGCCTCTTGGTGGGATTAAAAATCGAGATGAATGTCTTACAGGATCGATAAAAATATCGTTGTACTCAGAAAACAAAGCTCTATCAGATGATGTAGAGGAAATGTTGGCTTCGGCAATACCTTATCGTCAGGAGGTAAACAAAGTCCTAGAGCACTCAAATTTGGTCAATAGTCGCTCTGAAACACAATGCTCTCAAGGACGTTGTTTACCCCCTGACGATAATAGGTTAAGGTATTGACGAAGCCAGCTTTTCCCCTATAAAAATCGGTATATTTTTACGCTTAAATCTCAAATCACTCCGCATATAATATGTTCGAGTCCGTCATCTTGTATCGTGTGCGCTTCCCGCAAGTCAATGTATACTTTTAGTTCGTCATTTTAATAAAATTTTATTTGCTAGTTTACGTTCACGTTCATTTTATTGTACATGATGTACACGGCCACCCCGTTAGCGCGTTCGTAACACTGGCGACGTCGGAAGAACGAAATTGTTTGAGAACATTTCACGCGAGTGAGCGAAAGTGTTTCGTTCACTGAAGAGGAGAAGAATTGCGGACAACAGTATGTTTTCACCTGGGAGTGAACTACATAAACAATCAGTGTCGGGAAATGGACTGCAGCAGGATCCAGCAGTGCAAAACCAGCAACCGGGAGTGAACACCCAGCCGCAATTAAACCCAATCATCCGTCCGCCGATGTTCCAGCAAACTCAACCTCACCTCCACCACCAGCAGCAGCAACAACAACAAAACATTCCATCGATAGATCCAGCGATGTTGCATTTTTTTCAGCAAATGCAGCAGCAGGTGCAACAGCAGATGCAGCAGCAACAGTCGTTTTTGAAACCGCAGGAGCAGATGTTTCGGGCGGTGATGTCGGCTATCAACATTCAAGTGCCGACGAACCCTGAGCAACTTCTCGCGAATTTCGGTACGAGACGGATCATAACGTCACGTTTGCTGGATGGTACGTGCGTTATAAGGTTTTGTTAGGAATGCCTCGTGTTCGTCTGCGGGCTGAAAGCGGAAAGCAATGCGGAGGTTAGAACCAAGTTGCTGAGCAGAATCGAGATGCAGAATGTCATCACGCTGGAGCAGATTTCCGACGAATGTCAACGACTTGTGAACCTCAGGCACGACACGGCGATGATAGAGGCAGCGTCTTCGTCGACAGTAGTGCAAGCATTGAAACGGAAGCAGTTCGTGGGAAGCATTCCCGCGGAGGACGAGGATCACCAGGTTCAAGATCCCCGAATCAGCGAGGTGCAGTTCCAGTACTTGTTGGAACTGTGGCGCCATACACTATTCCAAGGACTGCCCTTTCCTCAAAAATCGGTGTGAGGAATGTGGTCAGGTGGGCCACAAAGCGCTAAAAAGGTGAAATCTCTAGGCAAGTGGTACTCGTCCAAGCCGGTAACTAGAAGCGTGCAGTCACAGCAAGTCCTGCAACGATTCAAGCCGCTACTGCATCGGGCAAACCCTTGAAACTGGATTTTCAGTGTTCCTGTGAAGTTGCAATCAAAGGGGAGAACCATCAAGGTCGATTTTTCGTGGTTATGCAGCAGCTTAATCTGCTTGGACTGGACCTAATCGACACGTTTAACTTCGGGTTGGTGCCTATGGATCAGTTCTGCAATCAAATCAGCAGCTATCCAACATCGATCAGCTTCCTCCAAGCAGCTTTCCAACGGTGTTCAATGATGAACTAGGGTTGTGCTCGTAGACCAAGGTTAAGTTCACGTTGAGGGAATGTAAATCCTTGGCTGGAACGTGCCAACATCATCACACCTGTCGATTTCTCGGAGTGGGTAGCTCCAATCGTCGTTGTTCGTAAGGCAAGTGGTGCAATCCGCATCTGCGGTGACTACTCCACGGGCCTCAACGATGCGCTGCAGTCGTATCAGTACCCACTTCCTCTACCGCAGGACATCTTCGCTAGGCTGGCACACATCGAGGTCTCTATCGGTACAATCGGCTTCCAACGGGAGTTAAGGCAGCACCCGGAGCGTTTCAGCAGCTTATAGACACAATGCTCGCTGGACTCAACTGCACTTCGGGGTATCTCGATGATGTTCTGGTCGTCCAAGCCGCCCTTCGTCGAATTCAGGAGTTCGGATTCACCATCAAAGCAGAAAAGTACTCGTTTGGCCAGCGTCAAATCAAGTATCTGGGACACCTCATCGACGGGCAAGGTCTGCGTTCAGATCCAGCGAAAGTTGAATCTATCTGCCAGCGCCGACAGACGTCTCTGGAGTTCAATCGTTTCTGGGAGCGATCAGTTACTACGGGAAATTCGTCCCGAGTATGCGTACGTTGCGATATCCGCTGGATGAGCTTCTCAAAGCCGACAAGAAGTTTGTCTAGTCAGTGGAATGCGACAAGGCTTTCTCCACCATCAAGCAGATTCTCACCTCAGATTTACCACTGACGCACTACAACCCGCAACGCGAGATAGTGGTAGCAGCGGATGCGTCATCGGTTGGAGTTGGTGCGACCATTAGTCATAAGTTTCCAGGCGGGTGCAGCACGCTTCTAGAGCACTGACAGCCGCCGAGCAAGCCTACAGTCAACCAGACCGTGAGGGGCTTGCGATCATCTTCGCTGTGACCAAGTTCCACAAGATGCTGTTTGGTCGGAGCTTCACACTACAAACTGATCATGCTCCACTTCTTCGGATCTTCGGGTCGAAAAATGGCATCCCAGTCTACACAACGAACCGGCTACAACGTTGGGCTTTACAGTTGCTTCTCTACGACTTCAACATTGTTTACGTAAACACGACGAAATTCGGAAACGCCGATATCCTGTCCCGGTAGATCAATCAACACGTCAAACCAGAGGTAGACTTCGTCGTAGCCAGCATCATCACGGAGAACGATGTAAGATCCATTGCATTAGATGCAGTATAAGACCAATTTTTGGCCCCGGAACCGCTGTGTCCCAGAAGAAGACCAGCCAAGACCCCAAGCTACTGGTCTAGAGCCGACGGTAGCATCCAGGGTGGGCACACAAATCCACTAAGGTTCCGGGTCTCAGGGCGTTCGGGCGAGGGAGACCTTTCGGATGTGAGGAGACCTAGAAAAATGTGAATTTTGTTACCTTACGCTTTATTCGGCCAGTGATGACAGTGGGGGCAGTGCAGAAATCGGGTGATGGTTAGATCTCGGCCCAACGTGGCTGAAGAATACCGAGGTTGGCAGCTCGGGCGGGATGACGGGCGGTAGTGCCGCTCTAGACGGTGATCGGGCGGCCGCAAGGAAGGAAATCGATTCTTGCAGCGTTGGTGGCAGTGATGGATGCGACGATGGTGACGGCTATGGACCCAGCGCTCAACTGCGCCTGTTCACTATTCGGCGTCGTCGGCTGCCGACGCTGTACCATGAGTGATGATAGCTTGGTGGATAGCGGACCAGCAGGGCGTATTCTTGAACCGCCGGGAAGCCTGGCTACGGCGATGTGACCTTGGTTGTGGGGTCGCCCGGAGCCAGCATAGGCCGACGTTGTCCGATGATGTAACGAGGGACTAGCGGACAGCGCTATGGCGCCGGTGGAAGGCCGGCGGGAGGGCGACCGACGAACGGGCAATCCGTGGAAGTAGAACCGGGGATGATCGCTGTACCTGGCCGGTACGTGGGCGGCTTGGCCTGGTAATAGCGGTGGTTGGCGGCCGCAATGGTCGACTTGCTGCTGGAACTAACAGTCCGCGCTTTCAAGGCAACGAGAGGCCAATCCTTGCTAGGCGCTTTGGTGACGACCCGACAAGCACAGTTGCTGGATAACTTTCGGTCCGATAACCCGGACCCAGAGATGATTGGACGGCCGTACTGATACCGGACACTTCACAAACCGCGTGGGTCGAAACGGGGGTCTTGATCCCGAAAACGTCTGTTTTAACCTCTCCTCCGTTCTCCTTCGGCCAGTCGTTTGCGATCCTCTCCATCCGCCCACGATCGTAGGTAGCGTAGAGCGCTATCAGCTACCTACTGCTATCAGACGGCACACGCGATCCACACCGTCGGGTGTTGATCGCCCCCACTACAAATCGACCGTTAGCTACACTAACAATTTTATTTGCCCTACTCCCCACATCTAATGATGGAAAACAAAATGTTAAACGCCGGTAACAGCAGTTAACGCACTTCCTCTCAGTTTCAGGGCAATACAGCACGCCACCCGTTTCGACCCTGCACTTATCAAGGTCTACCGCTTCGTTCAGCAAGGTTGGCCACAGTTTAAAACGGCCATTTCGGACCGAGAGATCCAACAATTCTTCAACCGAAGAGATTCACTATCTACGGTTCAAGGGTGCGTGATGTTTGCCGAACGTTTAGTGATTCCGATCGATTTCCGGATGCGTTGCCTACACCATCTCCATCGTGGTCATCCGGGCATCCAGCGCATGAAGGCGATTGCGCGCAGCTTCGTCTACTGGCCGTCTATCGATTCCGATATCGCTGCGCATGTCAAATCGTGCCGTCACTGCGCAGTTGCAGCCAAGAGTCCGCCCAAAGCGCGTACGCAAGAGTCCGCTACAACGGTACGCAGTTCACCAACGCCGAGTTTCCACAATTCTGCCTCGAGAACGGTATCGATCACGTGACAACTGCGTTGTTTCATCCGCAGTCCAACCATAGATGTAACTCTAAGACCAAAAGGTCCCGAAGAAACGAGCTCAACTTTTTGGCTCAGCTCTGGTATTATCTTCGATCCCAAGCTAATCGATTCACCCCTCGAAACATAGGAAAATCCACTAACCCCTCATTTTATCTGTCAAACTTTCATAGTGAATCAAAACAAACATAGTGTGGTACTGGAATTTACACTAGAATGGGGTACGTTAGTCGTTTTTCTTGGGACCAATAGGCTAGTCAAGTAGTGAGCCAATTTTAAATCGTTAGTTTCGTATTGATTGTTGGTCCAACGGCCAAGCTGAGCGTTCCGTGGACACCTTCAAGCGAGCGGTCAAAAAGATTCGAGAGGGGAGAAGATCAATTCAGAAAGCACTGGACACTTTTCTGTTGACCTACCGAACCACACCAAACCTGTCAGCACCACAAAGCAGATCTCCGTCCGAAGCCATGTTTGGGCGCAGAATTAAGACCAGTCTGGACTTACTCCGTCCACCAGCCGCGATATATTCCACATAAAGTTTAGAATTTTGAATGGTAATATACAAACGAAGTGACAGACGACTAACTGGCGAAGAAATCAATTAAAATAATGAGGTTCGCTGAAATAGAATTTTCTTAGAAGCTTATGCCATCAGCCACCAGATGGGCTAGTATTTTTGTTTTGATTTGAACAAAGTTGATTTTGTGTGCAATGATCTTTGACAATATGCAAAGAGTGTATCATTTTGTCATTTTTTATGCATTTCAGTTTAGAGTAGAGTGAAAGAGATAGAACCAAAACATTCTAGTACATTTGGTGAAAATACTAGTACAATCCAGTAGTACCAACAAACAATCAATTAGAAACTAACGATTTTAAATTGGCTCACTACTTGACTAGCCTATTGGTCCCAAGAAAATCGATTAACGTATCCCATTCTAGTATAAATTCCAGTACTACACTTTGTTTGTTTTGATTCGCTATGAAAGTTTGACAGATAAAATGAGGGGTTCGTGGATTTTCCAATGTTTCGAGGGATGCATCGATTAGCTTGGGACCGAAGATATGGTAGTACCATAGAGGTAACTAAGACCAGAAGGTCCCGAAGAAACGTGCCCAACTTTTTGGCTCAGCTCTGGTACTATCCTCGGTTCCTAGCTAATCGATGCACCCCTCGAATCCGAGCTCGAAACATAGAAAAATCCAAAATCCAATTTTATCTGTCAAACTTTCATAGCGAATCAAAACAAACATAATGTAGTACAGTCAACTTTCGCTCGTTGTGCTTAACCTGTAGCCCACTTAGTGAAAGACTTTCGTTAGTTGGGTTGAGGTGTCAACTTGAAAATTGGTTGAGGGAAACACCGATTGTTAATTATCATCACAATGCTTTAGCCGAGGCTTTAGTAACTATCCAAATTGTTCATACATGAGCCCCTCGAAAAAGAAATAGTACTGTTCAAAATGACATTTGACTTCGATTTAGGTGGGCTACAGCCCAACTAACGGGAGCCCAACTAAAACGTAGCCCACCTAAACATAGCCCAACGAGCGAAATTTTACTGTACTACACTTTTGACTAGAATGGGATACGCTTATAGATGTACTTGGGACCAATAGGCTAGTGAAGTAGTTAGCCAATTTAAATTTTTAGTTGCCAACGGTTGGTAGTAGTGTTGCCATGTGGTACACTGAAAAATTGCAATAGCAGGTTCGTCATCAAAGTTTTCGAGCCGCTCCGTCTGTCACTTCGTTTGTGGCGCTAGTGAGCAAACCATTTCTAACGAATTTGAATTTGAAAATTTATACAACATTTTCGAAGAAATTTGTTCCATTTGAACGTCTGGGCTAAATTGACACGTCTGGTTGTTATCATAGAACACGTTACTCCTACTTACCCCAAGGACATAGATCGGGCGATCGAAAACAATCTCAATGTGCACGAGATCAACGGCCACATCGGTATTGAGCGTGAGCACTCCATCCCATCGTCCGGAAGTGATGATAATGTTCGGCCCCATCGCTGCACACGATGAATTGAATCTGTCCTCCCGAGTGTCCGTAAAGTTCCTTGGAGCAGTTACGGCCACCGTTGGCCGTAACAGTGGCACGGGATTCATGCCAAGATTCCAGCTGCTTGGCGGATAGCGGTAGACTGGAGTTGATGATTCCCCTGCCACGTTGATTCTACGGCGGAGAAGTATTTTAGTTTGAAAGCATGCCAATTAGCAGAAGCAGTTCTAAGCGTACCTGGTGACTGGCTCCAGAGGACACAGTATAGCTCCATTGAGTCGGACTTCCTCCAACCCTGGTTGTATGGAGGTGGAATAGCTTACTTCAAGTTTGAGTTTCAAAATCGTTTGAGGGAATAACTTGTAACCGGATTTCATTATACGGAAACCACGGTTGTTCACACTGCTTGAAACTCCGAAATAGTTCTGAAAACACATAGCAAGGTGAATGATTTGAATTCATTTGAATTTATTCATCTTCATCGGTCGTGGGGGGTTCCCCTGAGGAATGCGTTCAAGTTCCGCGAATCACAATAAAACGTGTAATCAATATGCACTTATTTTGCATGCTGTTGCGATCGTTTCCTTCATTGATACTCGAGTAGGTACCTAAAGCACCAACACCGTTGCACTTGTTTACCTTCGAACTTTAAATAGAAGGAACGTAAGTAGACACTTGAGAGAGATCGCCCTGCCCAATTCAAGTTCAGCAAAGCAGCGTTGCCATTCCGTTATACTTACTACAAGCAGGTCGACTTGGCGATCGAATCGCAGGTCGATCTCAACGTCATGCAGCGTGACATCACTCTTCAGTAGCAGGCTTCCCTCGTATCGTTTCTGATAGTAGTTTGTACGGTCCACGGTGAACAGCTCACTACAGCTGATCTTCTCCGAAGCAGTTGATGTGGTTTCGCTGGCAGCAGGTTGAATGTAGTATGAATGACCGTTGGATTGGCGCCAGAAGCCAGCGGATTGTAGAATCAGCACCAACAGCATGGACCGGAACGACACGCATCGCTGGAATTTGGAATTTGTTTTTGAAAACTGTAGGCTCACAGCCGGATTATATACTTGCCATTATTGTTACGAACATTTCTACGGCAGTTATAGCTCACTAAGCACTAGGTATAGAATATCTTTCTGGAAAAGTACCAACGATGATAACAGGAAGAAAGTTCCTTACAGCATCCTCACGGTTCGAAGGCTATTCGCGAAATGAGAGTTGTTTTTGCTAGATTTGTGCGGCGTGTGACGGCGGTTGAGTTGATAAGAGATTCATAGCTCCTACTGGGAAGGTATGCGTCGCCGTCTGAATCGGAGGCGAAGAACCGTAGTCAAAATAAAATGGAAAAACAGTATTGAATTAATGACGTGCTAAATGTTTTGTACTGAAACTGCAATTAATTATAAAAGCGTGATTTATATACGACAACAGATCGGTGGCTCGCGTGATGCTTTGAGAAGATCGACAAGCTGAAGAGAGTGAGCCGCGTTGGGATGGACGAGGGTGATCGGGCAAAACGATGTAAAATCGTGACCGTTGCACGAGTAGCTCAAATTTAAATTGAGTGTCATCGGGGTGTGCGACGTGGTTAAAGGTGATAATAGTCCTGCCCGGTATGATTTGCTAGCTAAGTCCGGTCATGATTTTTGCGTGTTGATAACTGAAGTAGAAGAAGAAATACAAACAACTGGCTAGACAGATAGCAAGATGGATTATGAAGCAACATGATTTAACGGACAATTGCGTCTTCAGAAGGTTTCTGGTTTTAGGAAAAGACGTTTTTAAATGACTTTTTATTGAAGGAAAGTCAGTATGGTGCATTGTGCGGACGGCCCATGCATTTATTACGTAAGATTTTTCTATCTCAGCTCCCCTTTAGTTAGATCTAGCATTAACATGTTCTTCGTAAGGTATTTCTGAGATTCCCTTGTGAGAAAATGTAAGAATTTTTATTTTTTCTAATCTTACGTAATAAGTGCAAAGTCCCATCGTAGGGATAGTCGGTGGTTCCATAAGGTGACCCAAGAGACGTTTCTCAGAGGAACTGACAGCTAGAAATCTAGCACGGCTTACTTATACTAGGCTAGCTACTCCGCTCTTGTCATGTTTTATGTAACGTCATGAGCTGGTATATGTAGGGAGAAACAGACTCGGAAAATGTGAATGTCAAGTGAAGCCAGAAATGAGCTGTCACAAACTGTCAGTGGGAGCCAGCAGTACAAAACATCAATCAATGGGAAGTATTGATATCGAATACAAAATATTTTCTTGCTTGAACCATTTGCACTGCAATATTTTCGTTTCTTCAGTTCAGGAATCGGTATGTAGTTTAGCTAAATTGTAGTGTATCAAGCATGTTGTATCGTAAATTTGATAGTTTTCTCAAAATGGAGGGGGTTGTAGAGATATTCAGGTACGGTTACTCTAAATTTTCGGGTTCGTGTCGGGTACGAGTATACGAAGAAAATATTTTTGAGTTCGGATGGGGTAAGGGGTATACTTGGGTGCGGGTAGCATCAAGGGGCATGCAAAAACTTCAACTCCGGCACAGAAAGTAGCCGTAATTAAATTAATTCCATTAATTACAGGGGTCAGGTCGGGTTCGGGTTCTTGAAATTTTTATGAATTGGGTACGGGTTTGGTTCGGGTATTCAAATGTCTATATCTGACCATCTTTATGGGATTGTTTGTTAATGTGATGTATTGTTATTGGTCAATAAAGGAAATGCTTAAAATATTCACACATTTATTCATCATTTCATAACAGTTGGTAACAACAAAATTTCAGCTCAAATCAACTCAACATACTTCGGCTATCCACGGGACGGGATTTATAAAAGTCCAACAACCGATCGCTCTCTTTCGGTTCGTCTTCAGGAGGTAGCAAGAAAGCTTCAATCGACGGAACGGCATCTTTTTTTTTTTCGTTTTCTTCTCATTTTTATCGACGCGGAAGCAGTCCTCTAAGAAATGGGCCTGCAAATAATTAAAAAAGATCATAGCAACATTGATAAAATGCAAAACACTTGTACCGTCAACACTTACGCTACAGACTCGTGAGCTTGGTTTAATTTCGCCGGTTCCGGAATACATCCGACAGAACTTAATCCATTGGGATCTTGTGATATAATCAGTAGGAAAGCGCAAAAAACCCAATCCAGGATAATTCCTGCTGTTCCGGCCGCAGTATTTCACCTGACACTTCATTTTGGCTGATTCACTACGAGTCCGAGTACGAGTCTCTACGAGTGATTTTTCAACTCCAACTTTTCACAAGCATTAAGTCATCCGACGGTAACACGTAAACAACAGAGACACGAAAAACCGAAACCCCTCATTATGGGAACAAATTACTTGATAATTTTTATTTGCCAAGAATTTTCTTGCGCAATATTGTGATTGATTTATTAGATTTTGTGTGTAGTATTTGCTTCTCCCTCTTCATGAGAATCGTTGAAATAAACAAACAAGTCAAGACCAACAATTGAAATGGCCTTAACTCCATTTTGTAAACAAACCTTGTAAGGCCATTTTCTCGCGAACCGAAGTCCGCAAAGGCAAACCAACATAATGAACAGGTAGCCATCATAATGAAGTAATGAAATTGGGTTGTTAGCGGAATGCTAAATAAAACAGCAAAAAAGGTTATCTTCCATTTAATTCCACTTAATTAATTTTGGTATCCATGACAGATACGTATTTCGACTACAATGTGCAGTCGTCATCAGTGTCATTCCCACTAAAGAACTTATCAAAATCTAACCCCCTTAAGTACTCATCCCCTAGGTAAAAAAAGTCAAGATCATAGGTATAAAAATGAAACTACAATGTGTTGAATCGGAACCTACCTAACTAATAAAAACCAAAGATTTAAGTAAGCTAAAGGAAAATCTATAAAACTCTCTAAAAAGGAAAATCCCCAAAGGCTTGGTAGCCATCATAATGAAGTAATGAAAGTGTCATTCCCACTAAAGAACTTATCAAAATCTAACCCCCTTAAGTACTCATCCCCTAGGTAAAAAAAGTCCAGATTTAGTGGGAATGACACTGATGACGACTGCACATTGTAGTCGAAATACGTATCTGTCATGGATACCAAAATTAATTAAGTGGAATTAAATGGAAGATAACCTTTTTTGCTGTTTTACCCCGAAGGGACTGGATCCGATGCTCAAGATGAGTTAGATGTTCGATGTCAGGGAAAAGGAACTGCTGTCGGACCACGAAGCTATCAGGCACCTCTACAACATCTCTTAGAGCTGCTTGAGTTCGGGGTTTGCCACCATGTGCCAACACCCGGATGAATTAAAATCCCGTGAGGCACGTCGAAAATCCGAGACCGCCGACGCCGGTGGTGTAGTGGTAAGCGTGACTGCTTTCGTCACCCCAATGGGTCTGGGTTCAATCCCAACCGAGGTCGGTGGGATTTTTCTGAGGTATAAAAAATTCTGGTCACTCCTTCGGAAGGGAAGTAAAGCCGTTGGTCCAGGCCAATGTGTGTTGAAGGGGTGCGATATCCTACGCAGGTGTGAAAGCTGCCTTCCTGCACATTCGATTGCCGTCAATGGATGGCAATCGATGTCCGTCGGTGATTGGCACTAGATTGCGGAACAGAGACCGACGTTAAATAAAGGAAATAAGAAGAAGAAAACCCGAGACCTGTGAAAAAAAAACTTCCCTTCTGCACAATTTACTTTAACGATTCTGATGACGTAACTTCGGCCTACTTCGGTTGATGTTTACTCTCTAATGAGCTAGCCTGGCATATGTAAGCCGTGATTCGTTCATAAAAGTCCCCCTATTTGTGTGGCATATATTAGCACTAGTGTAAGCAGGTCTTAACTTGACGCTTAACGAGTCAGCAAGCCGTATGTGCAGCCTGGTAAACAGAAGTCTCTATGGCAACGCTTCATAAACACACACGAGCAACTCTCTACTCACTTTCGGACTAGCTCTTCACAAGCTAAGTCACACATTGGCGATCCAGATTCCAAATGTGCGACTTACCTTGTGAAAAGCTAGTCCGAAAGTGAGTGGAGAGTTGCCCGTGTGTGTTTATGAAGCGTTGCCATAGAGACCTCTGTTTACCAGGCTGCACACATGGCTTGCTGACTCATTAAGCGTCAAGTTAAGACCTGTTTACATACTTTGAAGAGATGAACTAGCCATATGGCTAAAAATCTCTATAGTAAAAATAAAAAAGATCTGTTTACACTAGCGCTAATTAGGTTCAGCAGTGTGACGTCACGAATGACCTCAATGTTAATCGGCTTAACCTTTTTGACAGTTCAGTGGTACTGTTTACAAGCACTTGTCGTTTTTTCAAAAACAAATATTTTAAAATTCCTGAACTTTAATTTGAAAATTGTCAAGGAAATGCGTGGTGAAATCATAGACGTAACTCTAAGACTAGAAGGTCCCGAAATAACGTGCTCAACTTTTTGGCTCAGCTCAGCTTACACAAGGAGTAGGTCACTCCGCACACCAATCTTGGGTCATCTTTGTTATCAGTGTGCCGCAGGTGTGCCGATTGTACCGGTCATTGAGCAAGCTGCGATTGTTTCTAAAATACCCAACCCGGCTACCTGGTATTTCTGACACCTAGAATGTTTTGGTTTAAAATCGCATGGATAAATCGGTCTAGTGGCAACCATGGAGAAATGCAATGTCTACATCGGTTGCAGATGATGCTCAATGTTGATGATGATGTTCTATCCTAAAAGTCCTCAAAGGCAGACCAGAAAACTAGCCTTTCGTGATGCGAAAAGCAATGGTCTATCGACGACCAGTTGAAATCGGTGAGGAACATTGTTGGAGACCGAATATAGAGGATGATGAATATGACTTCTGTAGTTTGTTTCGTGTGAGTTGCAGCATTATTTGAATAAAGAGTACTAATTGGGTCTGATTAACTGCCTCTTTCTCTCGAGCCTACGTTAGAACCTAAATTTCGGATTTAAATCTATAGGTGAACCGAGAAGGTAACTGCTGGTCTGAGTCCCTCAGGTATATTCAATGAGAGGATGTTCCTGAATATACAGCCAAACAGCACGTAATATAGTGAACAGCTTCAATAGCAGTTGTCCAGCAGTGCTCCTATTCTATTTACAACAATCTAATGCCTACAAGATTGTGCCGAAGGATGTGCCCAAGCTGTGCTGAATCTAATTTCGGCACAATGTGCTGAGTGACTTACCTCATGGGTTTACATCTCACTGCAGTCTGAAAAATTATCGAGAAAATCTACCCAAGAAAAAATTGACTGAGTCCACGTAAAAAGTACCACTGAACTGTCATCAGATTGAGGTTAACCTCGACGGTGCAAAACCTTATATATGCCACACATGTCCCTCTCTCCTCACAAAACAAAAGAATTTTACTCGATTTTCCTTTTCAGTCGTGAATGCACCATTGCTCTGATACCATCATCACCATCATCATGAAGATCAATGGGAACGGTGATAGGGAGCTTAGGAATCTCTCGTTCGAAAATCGAAATGGATGATTTTTCAATTAATCCCATAGTTGCTCGGAGAAAAATTGACCCGATTGCATCCTGGGACTCCTGGGGCGCAATGTGGGATGGTTGTATAACAAAATGTTGGTAGACTGTGTACTGGCGAACTGAAGCCGTTGTGTCACGAGTGATTGGTGATGGAAAGTGGACGCAGGCTTTGTTTTCTCTGCTGAGATCTCTCTAGTTGGAGCAGCTAGAGTGTGTTTCGTGGTTGATGGGGATTTACGCTGCTGTGAGGAACGAAAAGCGAGAGTGCTGTTGAAGATATAGTGGCAGCATATCTATGGGAGCTCTTAGAAATCTTCGTGATCAACATGATGTCATGGATTTCTTTACAACATATCTGGTGAGATCATTCCTTTATTTTGTCTTAAATTTCATTCCATTATTATATGAAACATTAAATGTTGTGGACAGGACCACAAAAGAAGTGGCAGACGACTAACTGGCGAAGAAATCAATTAAAATAATGTGGTTCGCTATAATAGAATTTTCTTAAAAACTTGTGCCATCAGCCACCAGATGGGCTAGTATTTTTGGTTTGATTTGAACAAAGTTGATTTTGTGTGCAATGATGTCTGAAAGTGTGCAAAGAGTGTATCATAGTGCACGGGTGAACTTTAGTTCATCTACTGATTTTTTTTTGACACAACAGCGGGGCCCTGCTTACTAAAAATGAACACATGAATAATGCTCGCGTAATATTTGAAAAGGGCCTATTAACTTTTGTAAATTATTTGCTAGGTCCTTTTCACGAGAACCAAAGTACGCCCACGCAAACCAAGAGCACTATCGGGAAGGGGAGAATTTCCTCTGCCCGATAGTGTTGTTAGTTTGCGTGAGCGTATTCGGTTCGCGCGAAAAAGGCTTAACAAGTTTTGTGTACATAAGCTGATAGACCCATTTCAAATGTTTCGTGAGTATTATTCATGTGTTCATTTTTAGTAAACAGGACTCCGCTGTTGTGTCACTTTTTGTCGAGTGAGTGAACTCAAATCCATCCGTGCACTCGTCTATTAGGTTCTGCAGCGTGACGTCACAAATGAACTCAGTGTTAATAGGCTGAACCTTTTTGACAGTTCAGTGGTACTGTTTACAAGCACTTAGTCGTTTTTTCGAAAAAACAAATTCTAAAATTTCAGAATTTTAACTTGAAAATTGTCGAGGAACAGCGCGATGAAAGGATGTTGCTCATGGACATTGCAGAAGTGTGGTTTGCATCTCACTGCAGTCTGAAAAATTATCGAGAAAATCCACCCAAGAAAAAATCGACTAAGTCCACGTAAACAGTACCACTGAACTGTCATCAGATTGAGGTTAACCCCGACGGTGCAAAACCTAATTGTGTCATTTTTTATGCATTTCAGTTTTGAGTAGAGTAAAAGAGATAGCACCAAAACATTCTAATGCATGTAGTGTTGCCATGTGGTACAATCCAGTATTAGTGTTGCCATGTGGTAAACTGAAAAATTGCAATAGCAGGTTCGTCACCAAAGCCGCTCCGTCTGTGACTTCGTTTGTGACAGGACGGTCCACCAGGGCACCCGATTGACGCGAAATGGATGAGGAGAGTGGAAATGCCAACTCCCTGTCTTTAACATTTCGTGAAAAGAGGGTGGGCTCTTCTCCCCTCTCATTGGGATATCCTCCTGTTGGATGGCCTGTTTTTTGACCGATTGTATGATCCTGTTATTGGAAGGAGATTCTCATTTAGTCCGTGGATGCAAGTGGTTGCGATGTTGCTCACGGATTCACCCAAACCGTTGTTGGCCCTTCATGCAATGGCAGGTTGAATACAATTAGAAGCTTCGGCTGTCCTCTGCTGCTAGATGGACGAAGGCAGTGCAAAGCGCCTGCTTTTCAACTTCGCCAGCTGGCCAGCTTTACGGCGGATCTTCTGCGAGGACACCGGTGTGGAGAACATTTCGTTGGCCAGATGGTCGTTCACCAGCATTTCGCCGTTGGATAGCGAACGGACCTTTAGGACACCCTTGATGGGGGAGGTTGCCTTCCGTTTTTTTCGGAGTGCTACTGTCCATGACGGCGATTTCATGTGTCAAACGGTCCTGCTGGTGCATCCGTACTGATATGCATTAGATAGTGCTGGTAAAATGTATAGTATGCGTTATTTTTTTTTGTAATAGACGGATTTCACGCCAACTCGTCTTCGGAGTTGGCAGCACCCTCTCAGAACCTTATGAAACTTTGTGGGTGTGGAGACTTAGCAATTTTAAGCAACTTTGAGTACTTATTTTTTTCAAAATTTATCTCGCCTAACATTTGATAAGGGTCAAAGTTTTTTGTCGATTTTTTTTTCAAATCGATATAGCTTAAAAATGACAAGCCCTACAAAATAGTGATGTATGGCGAACTTTTAGCAAATAATCTGAAATTTTATAAAAAAATTTAAATAAATTAAAAAATTGGTTTCTACACTCTAAAAAAATATATTTAAAAATTAAAAGTCATTTTCCCAAAAATGGTACCCCTCAGATTTGCTTGATATTTTTTCTCATGAAAGGCAATATAATTAGCTAACTTTTCTTCATACATCGCAAAGTGGGCGCTTTTAAGGAAAAAAAGTTGTTCGAACAACAACTTTTTCATGTTAATTTTTTTTAGCGTGTTTCACTCAAAGTCGAATAGTAATACGCGCACAACCTTATTAAAATCCGTTGAAACTTAATGAGCATAAAGATTTTGACCTTTTGATAATCTGGGCGTGCTTAAAACAAAAATCTAGCCTAACATTTGAAAGGGCCTAATACAGAGGCATTTCGAATGGTGTTTTAATAAATGAAAACTCTAGTGTTTTTGTTTAGTGCATAATTTATTTTCCTATAATTCTCCATACATAATTTGAGTTTTTCATTGATTATTAGTCTATCGGAAACAGAGTGAAATTTTTCGGAGTTTCCTTTGAATGTGAAAATCGCTTAGTAGAAATTATGTTTTGAGAAATAGGTACAAAACAATGAAATTTTTGTGTACCAGGTATAGTTTTTACATGACTGAACAGCTCCTTGAGTTCATCGGACATCTTTGTGTATTGATCATTTGATATGAAGCAGAAGTTCAATTTTGTTATGCTTGTATCTGTTTGTTTAACTGCCCAGTCATACAGTTCTTGTGGAGTTGTGATTGTGTTTCCATAATCTCGAGCAAGACTTGCTCTCTTTGCCATTCGTTTGAGAGTTCCTCCAATTGCGTCACATGGGCCTTTCCAATGAGACGTTGCGAAGAAGTGCCATTCTGCTTCCAATCCATACTTGGACTTGAAGTTGCACAAACTGGCAAAATTCTTTTTATTTTTGTAATGAGCCGCTGCTCCATCTGACATGAAAGTAATTTTTGTGAAACTAATAGATTGTTTAATGAAATCTAACAATTTTGATATAAATAATTGAACTGCTATTGTATCATGGGTCAATACTTCTGAAATAATAATAAAGCTTAAATTTTCCAACTTGTTTTCTTTTATGTAGTAAATTTCGAAAGGATGTATCGTAGCTTGATTATTGTTCCAATGATACCCCTGTGCTGAGTTTTGAATAATAAATGAATAATTTTCAGAAAAGTCGCAAATCACTAAAATTTCACCGTTTGAAGAGAATTTTTTTATTACTTAGGTAAGATGATTGCTCTTTATGAATAAAATCATGGGTTATGAGCTTTTCAACTTTTTCCGTCAAATATTGAACAAACTCATCTGCAGGTTTAATAATAGTTTCCAAATTACAACGGTCGGTAGTCAACCACTGTTGAAATAAAACTTCTTCCATATCATCTGCTTCTAATACTGATGTAAGTTCCCTCACGATACTATCTGTGGAAATGCATTCTTCACATGTACGATAAAAACAATCTATGGTTCTAATAGGACTACTGCAAAGTATTTTGTCTGCAATTTCTTTATATGAATCAAATTTTACGCTATTAATAATCAATTTAACATTTTCATGTATAGTACAGACACATACATTATGTGTACCTGTACTATCCAACAGTATGCAATGCTTTGGTCGGAGCTGAGTGAACGAAGTAAATCCGATTTTAACACTTTTGTATTTCTCTTCAAAAATCATAAAAGCCTCTTTAAGAGACATCATCAATAAACGTTTCTGAACATGCTCTTTATATCCATTTCGATATTCAGAAACATAATCATTACTTCCTGGCATAGGCCTACTAATATCATCACTGTCAAAGAAATTTAAAACAATTTGTTTTTCAGTATCATTAAATCCATTAAACCTGCGCTATTATATGTATTCACTTGAGAGATGAGGTATAAACATATATGCATATTGCTTACTAATGGACACACCTAATACATAAAAATAAATGAATGATTATTTTTCTAATTAAATTAATCATAAATACATGAATTGAAATCTTTTCATGAATAAAACATACTAAGTGATTTTTACTTAGTTTACCTGTTGATTTGGAACAATTTGAGGGTGGTTTTATAGAAGTTGGATAGAGTGTATGCATATATTATAATACAATCCATCACAGGAAAGTGCAAACCATGCTGAGATGGCTGTTCCTCATTAGAACGTTTTGTTCTGAACTCTTATTGGACGATTTGCAGGTAACTTCTCTGTACCCTTTTCAAATGTTAGGCTAGATTTCGCCCAGATTATCGAAAAGTATACCCATAAAGTTTAATCGAATTTTAATAAGGTTGTGCGCGTATTACTATTCGACTTTGAGTGAAACACGCTAAAAAAAAATTAACATGAAAAAGTTGTTGTTCGAACAACTTTTTTTCCTTAAAAGCGCCCACTTTGCGATGTATGAAGAAAAGTTAGGTAATTATATTGCCTTTCATGAGAAAAAATATCAAGCAAATCTGAGAGGTACCATTTTTGGGAAAATGACTTTTAATTTTTAAATATATTTTTTTAGAGTGTAGAAACCAATTTTTTAATTTATTTAAATTTTTTTATAAAATTTCAGATTACTTGCTAAAAGTTCGCCATACATCACTTTTTTGTAGGGCTTGTCATTTTTAAGCTATATCGATTTGAAAAAAAAATCGACAAAAAACTTTGACCCTTATCAAATGTTAGGCGAGATAAATTTTGAAAAAAATAAGTACGCAAAGTTGCTTAAAATTGCTAAGTCTCCACACCCACAAAGTTCCATAAGGTCCTGAGAGGGTGCTGCCAACCACTGGATGAGTTGGCGTGAAATCCCTATTTAGGGATCGTGCCGTCATTTTCTAGCAATTGAGGCCAATTGATTTTTTTGCAAAAGCGTCGCTTTGAAACGATTAAGGTTTTTTTTTTTCAATGATGGCATCGTTTTGAAACGATTGAGGCAGATGATGGCATCGTTTTGAAACGATTGAGGCAGATTTAGCAGCTTATTTATTTTATTTTTTTGCGGTGTCATCGTTTTGAAACGATATGAGCAGATTTTGTGTTTTCTGTAATGGCGTCGTTATGACAAACTTTCTCTGCAAAATAGCTTGATCGAAACGGTGGAAGCAAAAAGATAAAATTGTTTGGAAGTTCAACTGAAATAAACACCGTGGATTATACATGTGAATCAATGGAATATTTTTGGCTATGTCAATCCACCATTCCGAACAAGCTAAGTCATTAACCGGGTTTGTTGCAAACAATCTTTCAAACAATTTTATCTTTCGTGCTGCCGTTACTGATCATCCTTGGCTCGTATGTCGTATGCCATTTTGTCATGATAAAGGCGTTTTCGATTCCATGTGTACATCTAATTAGCGTGGACGGCGACTCTGTAGCTCTTTACTCCAATGGTAAAATCCATAAGCAAACGTCAGACTGTGCGTGAAACATGGCGGACTTCGTACTATCCTTTCACTCCACTGAAAATTTCCACAAGAAACTGTCAATCTTTGCTAGACGAGACGATTTTTCAACGGTGCCGTCAACGCCAATACTATAGAACTATGTCATAATAGTATAAATCCTACTGATCGCGCACGGACAGGACCTTTTCCTACGTTGTGTTATTTTATAAATCAAAAGTAAAAGACGAACGATTGTCTGGCCGCCCTGCCATGGCGGAGGCATACGAACTATTGCTTTTATTGATAGTGAAAATGGATACAATACACTGAGGACGATACATTCATTCCACTACCAGCGGCACCTGTTTGTGTAGTGTTCATCAGTACGGCGGGTAGGGTAAGTACACACTTAGTGGACAGTTGCACAAACACTTACTATTTTAATTATATAATTCTTATAATCATAATTATGGTGCCATTTCGCACAATTTTTTTTTTTTCATTTTCGCAAATAATAAAGCGCTTTAAAAGATATCCAACATTAAACATATATTAAAATTAAGTTTATTTCATGAAATACAATGTAAATTGACAATAATTCTATCGTCAAATTTGTATATAAAAGAACAGTCTTAAAACTTTTCATTCCTTCACATATAACTCTTGATCCATCGTAAAAACTTTGCCACATCGGTAAAAACAGCATAGTGATTGGGATCGCAGGTTATCTTGTCCTGCAGCGCGGCACTAACCGACACAACTCCGCGAAGATACCAGCGGCTGCTTTGTTTGAACACCATTCCGCCACCGCTATCCCCGTTGCAGACCGACGTTCCTGTAGAAAGAATAAAATCTCAAAAGAATATCTTTTTTCTCATATTCAAAATATTCTCATTACCATTCCTAAAACCGGCGCAGTACGACGTATTCGAAGTCACCTTGCTGAAAAAGTCCCGATTGGACCAGATGCACGTCTCGTGCGCCACCACCGGCATCTGGGCGAAGGACAAATCCTCGCTCACCAAACCGCGCTCGTTGTAGCCCCAGCCCGGAACGAATCCCACCTTGTTGATCAAAGCTTTGTAATCCTCGTCGAAGTTCCACAAGCAGGCCGGTCGGATGTAGTTGTTGAATTTGACATCTTGCTTCAGTACTAGCATTGCGATGTCGGCGAAGAAACGTTCGTGATTGTAGTCCGGATGGATGATGACGCGATTGATCTTGGCGTCCTGTTCCGGACCGTTCCACTTCTTGAGATTGGTCTTGCCTAAATAGAGCAGTAGATTGTCGGCTTCTACCGGGCGACGGCTTCTCTCTAGGGCAACGCAATGCGCTGCCGTGAGTGCATACCGGGCCGCTATCAGCGTCGATCCGCAGAGGTATCGAAGATCAGTAACGGATGAAAGGTACAGGGCTCCATGCCATGGGAACTGGGCATGCTGGGTGGATGAACCGTGGGTTACCAATGGGTTTGCTTTAGGTACGACCGAACCGCAGATGTCTTCGTCGTTGGAATTGATGTAGTGGGTCTGCGGATGAAAATAGTTTGAATTTCTATGCATGAGGATACATTTTCGAATAATCATACAGAAGTCTCCAGTGGTTGGATGAAAGCGTAGTCTCCCTGGAAGTAGGATGGTTTTTTGGTAGTACTTCGCGAATTGTGCTGCTGGTAGTCACCCTGGTAATAGGACGTTTCGGTAGTTGTCGTACGATCGGCTACGTAGTGGTGATCATTTTTGGGAGGTGTAGTCCTACTGTTGGCGTAGTAGTTAGTATCGCGATTGTTTTCATAGTTTGGAACCGGTTGGCGGATGGGTCTGGTAGTCGAAGCTTCCGTTGTCGCTTTCTTCCAAATGTTTGGATCCTGAATCGGGTCGTAGTTATTGTGATTTTCCTCGACTGAAGGTCGTTTGGTTTCATGCGAAACGTTGGATGATTCTGCAAATCTGAACAGAATTTTTGTTGCATTCATAAATTTGCATAAAAGCTACAACACACGTATACCTTGTTTCCACTTTAGAGGAGTCTTCAGTAATCACCGAGTTGGGTTTTACATTCAAGTAAGAAGGATTTAAAGTGGAGTAAGTATGGTTAGCAGGAAGGTTAGTTTCAGATTCATGCTGAACAGCGGGATTGATTGCTTGGACTGAATGGGCGGTTATTTCATGCAAGTTATCACTGCTGTAATGTTATTTTTTACAAACTCATTAATTTGCAACTACAAACAATAACAGATTATCATACTTGTTTGGTCGATTCTCTCGCCTTACTGGATCATCCGGATAAACAATGGGTTTGTCGTACGAACTGGCCACAATCGGTTTGATTTGATGACGGTCGATGGTGGTGGGTCGCACGATGGGAATATCCACACAGATGTTTTGTCCATTGAAGCGGATCTGCCGTATTGCCGGGGTTCGTCCATACTCCGAATGCTTGACATAAAATTTTAAGATCATAGTTTCCCCTGCATTCAATTGGTAGGTTTTGTCCTCGATGTAGAAGCGGAGGTTGTCCTTGGTTGTAACGTCTTTAAAATATGCCTGCTAAATTTTTCGATTGTAAATTTTAGGAACAGTAGTGGGAACAATCTGATTTCATACCCCAAAAACGTAAACTTGCCCGTCGAAAATGACATCAACAAAGATTCCGTGAAGTGGTACGTTCGTTTTCAACCGTAACGTTCCGTACCACGTGTCCGATGTGTCATCCTTTTCATCGTAGCTGAAAACTGCAGGACATGGAGAAGTTTTCTGATGGCTCCGGGATACTGCCACTGTCAGCAGTGTTACCAGGAATAGGTACTGAAACAATAAGTTTGGTTTTAAATTAGCAAGTATGATCGTTATTTCCGGTTCTTCTAAGATGCCGTCCAAGATGGATCGTTCTCTCGTGTGGGAACGGTACGCTTGAAACTGGTTCTTTTGCTACGCTATAATTATATAAGTCGATTGAGCAATCGATTATAGACGTAAAGGGTGATACGGTCAAAATTTGGTCAATTTCAACTTGACGTATTTCTTTCAATTTTGCATTTAAAAAACCTGAACACCCCTCATTTTGAAGGTGTGTGTGTGTAGAATGTTGCTCCTATTTTGATTTTGGAATTCACTGTTCAGTTGTCAAAATGCCGTCCAAGCAAGAAGAGCAGCGTATCAAAATTTTGCTCGCGCATCGCGAAAATCCGAGCTACTCGCACGCAAAGTTGGCAAAATCGCTAAAAGTTGTCAAATCAACCGTTACAAATGTAATTAAAGTGTTTGGGGAACGTTTGTCGACAGCCAGGAAGTCTGGATCGGGGGGAAATCGAAAACCGGAAGCCGCTGAGACGACAAAGAGAGTTGCCGGTAGTTTCAAGCGAAACCCTAACCTCTCTCTCCGAGATGCAGCAAATAAGCTGGGTGTATCGTCTACAACCGTGCATCGAGCCAAAAAACGAGCCGGACTATCGACTTACAAGAAGGTAGTGACTCCAAATCGCGATGATAAACAAAATACGACGGCCAAAGCGCGATCCCGGAGGCTGTACACGACGATGCTGACGAAGTTTGACTGCGTGGTAATGGACGACGAAACCTACGTCAAAGCCGACTACAAGCAGCTTCCGGGACAGGAGTTTTATACGGCAAAAGGAAGGGGAAAGGTAGCAGATGTTTTCAAGCACATGAAACTGTCAAAGTTCGCAAAGAAATATCTGGTTTGGCAAGCCATCTGTACCTGTGGCTTGAAAAGCAGCATTTTCATAGCTTCCGGGACTGTCAACCAAGAAATTTACGTGAAAGAGTGTTTGAATAAACGTCTGCTGCCTTTCCTGAAGAAACACGGTTGTTCCGTACTGTTTTGGCCGGATTTGGCATCTTGCCATTACGGTAAAAAGGCCATGGAGTGGTATGCCGCCAACAACGTGCAGGTGGTTCCCAAGGACAAGAACCCTCCCAACACGCCAGAGCTCCGCCCAATTGAGAAATACTGGGCTATTGTCAAGCAGAACCTAAAGAAGACCAAAAAACTGCTAAGGGCGAGCAGCAGTTCAAGGCAAACTGGCTTTCTGCGGCGAAGAAGGTGGACAAGGTGGCTGTACAAAATCTGATGGCAGGGGTCAAGCGTAAGGCCCGGCAATTCGGATTTGGAAAAGCGGAAGCCTAACTGAATATTTTTCCTGAATTTTATACTAATTGAACATGAAAAAGAAATTTAATTTGATTTTTTAAATAAACGATTTCACCGATTTACACGCGTTTTCCCTTGACCAAATTTTGACCGTATCACCCTTTAGACAGCAATCGTGGTAGACAATACTGGTTTGATCGTTTAGTATCGATTTCGTGTATCGTGACATCGCAAAGGTGAATTGTTTGAACATTTTGTTAGTCTCATTTTCCGATTTAATTAGACATTAAGTTTGTTTGAACACAACTCCCAGGCGTTTTCATGTATCAGTAACATAAGCATCTCACTCGAAAAACATTATAAGTCGGACCAATGTTTTAACATATGCGATCTTTATTGGAAAAATTTTCATGATCCTGTCAAAAATAACAATATTTTAAGTTTTTATACCTTGTTACAGACCAGGAAAATTATCCAAAATCTAGTACTTTTCATCGATCTGGAGTTGCGAATTTTTTTGTGGTAGATTTTTATAAAAAAGGGATGCTGACTAACCCGGTTTTTGTATCCTCATGGTTATGAAAGTACTGTCATCTTTTTATTTCTCGAAATTGACGGGACCATCGAGAGAGGAAAAGATCAACAATCAGAACAGTAATTTATAAGCCTACCAGTATGATTCTAGCAGTACTTCAGTTTCAAACGTGTATTTGTTCATCCCGTATCCAAACCGAGATCCAAACGGCCAATCATACCAACTCAGCGACTGAGATTAATTGACTCGGAGAATTGGAATAAACTATGGATTGGAATAAACACAAGCTATGAGTAACTGCAGTTTATTCCAAATCTGAGTAAATTTCGTATGGAAAGAAAATTCTCTGAGTCAATTAATCTCGGTCACTGAGTTGGTATGATTGGCCGTGCAAAGCAAAACTCGATCGCTTTCTTCAAACTAAAGAGCCGGTGGCAGAAACGTCATCCACGAACATTTGGCTTGAAGCCAAAGCTGTTGGTTCTTTGGCTCGATTATCTGCCAATCTAAAGGGCCACCCACATTAGATCCGTTTGCGTTGCGTTGACGTAAATTTGACAGTTAGACAATAGATTTAGCGGTCACTTTTCCGCATCGCGTCCGATCCGGATCTAATGTGCGTGGGCCTTAAGACAGCTGATGCTAACATTGAGAAATTATGCTCCGTTCACATAGATGTTTGATTTGTTGTGTGGCAAAATAATCGTGATAAATGTTCAACAAGCGCGTACTTGTAGGAATTAAATATGTATTATATAATTTTTAAATTAGGTAAGCTAATCATGAACAATTCAAGTTTCATTAATGATTATTCACACAAGATTTTTTAACGCATACGTGTCGTCAATGCACATATAAACACAGCATAAAAACTATAGGCTACAGTGCTGACACCACCGATGGTGGTGGCTTCAGCAAGCCTCCTTCTAGGCAGATGATTGCTTCAAACGTGGAACAAACTATAGTCGCTATATGAATAGTCTGGTGGATAGAATTTTGATCTATCAAAAAGCGGAACCAATTCAAAATACTGTAGACCAACAATTGAAAAGGTACTATCAACTTTTATAAACGTTGGTTATTCTTTCCTCGCCAATCGATCGAAAACTACCAGCATCATCGGATAGGGGAAACTTTCCCCAACCCAAAGATGTTAGTTTGCGTAGGCGAGCCTTGAATCACGAGAAAAGGGTTTCCGAAGTTTTGATCGCAATAGCTGTTCCGCTATATGACAGCTCAATTGGTTCCCGAGATTCTATCCGCCAGACTATGAATATAGCGACTATAGAACAAACTATAGATACTATATATTCCATAGATAAGCGGAGGCACAAAAAGTTGTTTTGGCAACCATGAAAAATAAATATTCTTTCTGGCATCCGTGAAAAACGTTCATGCCATCATAGAGCTCTTCGATGTGCAGTTTTGTTTTGTAAGGTGGGCAAAACTTCAAAATGAAGTGCAAACCAATTCTTTGCACCAATGAATCGAGCACTGGTTTGCTTTATCTTTCTTTCTTCCGTTGTCCGCGAAATAAATCAGAATGTGGAGTGTGGAAAGCGTTTTGTGCTTATAATATTACAATACTTCTCCCTCAAACAGCACCATGATGACGTCATGCTCGTTTGGCTACACTAACTGACAGTTCGTTTGGCTACATTATACTTTTCCTCCGCTTATCTATGGAATCTATGGTATCTATAGAACAAACTAGTGAACTATATTTTCCTACACGCGGTGTATAATGAGTCACGCCAAGAGAAAAACAGTTGAACGCGCATCACGGTTTTCGAAAGATTCCCTTTCTTTTCACTTGGCAACAGAGGACTTCTACATCAACTTCAGATGACTTCTAGCGAAAAAAAAATAGAGGCTGTTGTAAACCACTATATCAGTGATTTTGTCAAATTATCTTAACAAAAAATAGTAGAAATTTTCATTACTAATCATTATCAAACGTATCCCATGACAATTGAATGTTCACTGCGTGTTTATGATTATTCCGTACAGCACTTCCCGTGCTACATATTACCTATAAATTTTCTATCTTGTTCGATTATTATTCCTATTCGATCGTTGTTTGGACCCTATACTACCTGTTTGGATATCGATTTGGAAAATTCCTCTTCGATCATTCGCCTTCTTATAGTAATCTGCTTCGAAGTCGATTTAGAGAAACCTTCTTCTGTCGCCATGGCGCCTAAACGTAAAAGAAAAGGACAATCTCTTGGCCCCCTTATGATGAAATTCAATTGAACAATCAATTTGATATGCTCACGGATGATAAGAATGTTCTGTCATCGAGGCAAAATTCCATTAAAAATTTTTGGTAATGTGAGGGGAACGAAAGTGATCCATTCTATATGTCTTTTAACGAATGTCAATTAAATTTGCTTATTTTCCTCGAATTAGTTTTGGATCAATTCCATTTGTTATGAATTAACGCGTGCCTGTAGATATTATCCGATTTCATCCACTATTCATCGATTATCTTGAAGGTGTAAGAATTATCGAGCATTATGCTGATATTATTTTTAGTGTGTAGCGTGATGAGAACTGTCACTTAAAGAGCCTGAATTTATAAACAGGCGACATCTTATCCATTTGACAGGTCTTCTGCTCGATTGGAATGACTTCTCCCATGACTTTGACAGACAATCGATTGCTCCAATTTTGACATCTCGTCTTTTTGTAAATTCAGGCTCTTTACTGTCACTATCCTGTGAACCAGCGTTGCCAGATTGTTTTCTAGCTAATCGGTATGAAATGTTTTAAAAATCGGTGTTTATCGGTAATTACGATTTTAATTCATTTTATATTTGTGCCGTTCTTGTAGGAGAAAATTAATACTATTGGACTAAGAACGCAAAACTTGCTTTCCAGAAGAAGTCAGAAATAATGTCCGGGAAAGTTTGAATTAGCTTGTCCAGGATGCCGAAAAATTTCACAGAGAAAGAATTAAGAAGCTCTTCTTACGGAAGTTTGAAGAAAGTTCTAAGAAAAGTAGGAAAATCATCCCGGATGCCATGCAAAACAAATATTGAGAAAGTTCAGGCAAAAATTTGAAAAAACTTTCAGAAAAAATCGTATGGCACATCCAGAGGAATCCAGAAAAGATTCGAAAATCGGAAATAGTAAAGAATTTTTGGAATAGCCAATTCCAGGGGAAGTCATAAGAAGCTCAGAAAAACCTTCGAATAGAAGTTGGAAAAAATCTATGGAGAAATTTCCAGAAGAAGACGAAAGAAACTTCTGGGAGAATTCTCTAGACACATTCGGTAGAAGTTTAATCGAACTTCCTGGAGCATACGGAGGAAATTTCCTGAAGGTGCTGGAAAAAATATCCTAAGGTAGATTGAAAGAATCTTCTGGAGAAAGTCGGAAGCCAGACGGCATACAGAACAGTCGAAAGAAACTTCAAGGAGTAGTTGGGAAAAAATCCGGAATAAAGAGATTTCTTGGAGATGTTAGAACAATATTCCCTGAAGTTCTTTATCCTGAAATTTTTCTAATATTCATAAAACAAGACCCCGCAATATTGCTGAATTTTTCGGAAAATTTCGGAAATGCACTTCGGAATATCCCATGCTTCCTCGAAACTCCTTGAAGGTTCCTGCAATTTTTCTTAAGTGAATGAGGCTGTTTTGAAGTTGTCGGATCGTTCATGAAGTACTGGGAAACTACCGGAAAATCTCTTATCTTCTTTGAAGGTCTCTAGACTTTCTTGTGCTCTCAGAATTTTCTTGAAATCCCGGTCGAAGTTTCCCGGGTTCACGAATTTTAACACAAGTTACCTTTACAGATCTTTAAACTTACCCATAACTTCTTAACAATGCATGCAGTTTTCCTGACGCTAGTGGAACCGCAATAAAACTTTGGAGGCATCCCTAAAGTTCCGCGCAAGTTGAAAAAGAAAACTGGTGGGAGAAAATGGAAGAACCTTTCGAGCGAAGCCAGAAGAAGCTTCCAAGGGGAGTTGAAATAAGTTTCCGGTAGGAATCGGAAATAATTTACGGGGCTAGGTGGAAGAAAGTTTCTAGCGGCAAGTTGGTAGAAACTTCGGAAATTCAGGAAGTGAAAAAAAGAATCTTTTGATGGACCTGTTTGTTCACTGAACAAAAGTATTTCTTGGTTCCCACGAATTATCGAGATGAGCCATCAGCTGTTTCTCGTTTCATGGGTAGACAAAACCGGCGGGGGAATGTAAACATTAGTCGAATGAGTATCAAGCATAAGACATTTATATAGATGAATATTTGTTTTGAACAGACTCAAAGAATTTGAGATATTCAAAAAGTCGCTCACAATAGTTTTCTCTGACAGCTCAGCACGGACAGGCAATAATAATTTTTAATATTAAAAAAAAATCGGTATCAATAGTTATAAAATCCCATAAATCGGTATTCTGTGAATCCTTATCTGTATATCGGTATCAAGTTCGAAAATCGGTATCGTTGGCAACGCTGCTGAGAACCTGCTTTTGTGATTATTTCAAACCCTACAAGCTGGAACTTTGGAAGCAACCAAAATATCTGCACGGAGGATTGGTGACCTAATTGACTACCGGAATTGATAGCGAATCGTGGATTTGTCCGACAATAAATCGATTCATCGAGCTTTAAGAGTTATTTTTTGGCAATATTTGAATAAATATCGGCTTAATCCCAAAAAGGAAAAGGCCCCTACTATTGTGATAACCACTTCCGATTTACATGCTCTTCACACGGAACCTTTGAACTTCCTTAAATTTAAGGTTTCACTTTAAATTGGCCATCGGGGTGGTTAAAAAGTGATTCTCTGCCCTGAGGAACAAAACTTTTGAAAATAATGGTAAAATGTTGATCACAAATTCGGAAAAGCACAGAAACTTCCTAAGCAATTCGAAAGTTCCCATAATTTCAGTTTGGGTCTTACAACTCCTGTTGACAATCAGGTTTCTCTAGATTATCTGAATATTTTCTCTCGGGAAAATATTTTTGATAATTTCTGGGGGACTGATTTGGACGAAGTTTATGGCTTATGGCCGCCACAATCTGACTGAGTTTTTGGCAGGGCACATAAGATTTGAAATCTGGCTTGTGTCGTTTGACGTGTAAACGTTCAAATTTGAACGTTTACACGTCAAACAACACAACCCAAACGTCAAATCATATGTTCTCTACCAAAAACTCAGTCAGATTGTGGTGGCCATAAGCGCTCGTATTATGCTGGATATACCAGATCTGCGTGGCAAACATTGCGTCTTCAAAAGTTCTAAACGTTATCTGCAGGCAATCTGCTTAGAAATTTGATGTAAAACATTATTTTGTTCTAGATCGGACTCTTGAATAAAACACGTTTTTTTTTCAAACAAAGTTGCTTGATATTTTCTGAGCTACAAATTTTGCGAAGAATTATTTGGCCTATTTTCCTAATAAATCAAAAAACGCAAAAGATGATTCAATTTTGAAGCCGGATTAAAATCCAGCTGAAGTTGCTAGCTACCAACAGTTACCTCTATGTAGCTACCGTCCAATATGTTTGCTTTCTTCAAAAAATAAACTTTTTGAAAAGATAATTTTGAATAAAATGATGCTTCACATCAAAACGAGCTCATTTTTTTTGCAGATGAGCAGTTTGGATTTCGCCATGGGCATTCAACTACTCATCAACTCTATAGAGTTATGAAGTAACGAAAATGGGTTGTTAGCGGAAATGCTTAAATAAAACAGCAAAAAGGGTTCTCTTCCATTTAATTCCACTTAATTAATTTTGGTATCCATGACAGATACGTATTTCGACTACAATGTGCAGTCTTCATCAGTGTCATTCCCACTAAATAACTTATAAAAATCATCCCCAGGTAAAACAGTCAAGATCACAGGTATGAAAATGAAACTACAATGTGTTGAATCGGAACCTACCTAACTAGTAAAAACCAAAGAATTAAGTAAACTAAAGGAGAAAAATCTATACAACTCTCTAATAAGGAAAATCCCAAAGGCTTGGTAGCCGCTTCTAGACATAGATAAAGCATTCGACAGTGTTTGGCATGAAGGTTTGATTGCTAAATTGGAAAAGTTTAATTGTCCACTCTATATTATGAAATTAGTTCAAAATGATTTAACTGACAGAACTCTGCAAGTAAATTATCAAAATTCCAAATCTGAACGACTACCTGTTAGAGCAGGAGTTCCTCAGGGTAGTATTCTTGGGCCTATATTGTATAACATTTTCACTTCGGACCTCCCTCATTTGCCTCAGGGTTGCCACAAATCTTTGTTCACCGATGACATAGACATTTCCACTACATGAAGAAGTCTTCGTGTTATTTGCAGCAGACTGCAGAAAAGTTCAGATATTTTCTCTTCTTATTTACAAAAATGGAAGATTTCTAACAACGCTTCCAAAACTCAACTTATAATATTTCCACATAAGCCTAGAGCTTTCGTTTTTGAAACCTAGTAGTAGTTACATAGTCACTATGAACGGAGTTCCAATATCCTGGTCAAACCAAGTGAAATATCTTGGATTAGTACTAGATCAAAATTTAACTTTTATAGATGAAAGCTGACCAAGGCTTTCCAAATGGTGGGCAGATTATTTGAGGATTATCTCGCTATGTGGCAATAGTGTGCATGGGGACGTCATGTATAAGATACAATACCTGGTTTTGTATGCGTGGAATACCGTATCGGAAGACGAATCGAAATAGACAAGATATTAATTTGCGTCTTACTTCAAATTTCTCACCGTCCGCTCTCGGTTCACAATCACTGTCTCGTAGCAGATTTAGGCCCATTTTTCTTCAACTGATTAAAACAGTCACCACCTGACTAAGCCATTGCCACCCTATAGGTATTTAGGTGATTTCGGGCTCCGTTACTACACGCTAAACCTACCTACACTTCTTACAGCATTATCATTTATTTTTTGTAAATTTGGCATTGTCCAATACAATCCAAAATACGTACGCAAATGCGATGATGAAGAAAGTGTTGAATACTTGATTTATAAATTCTTCAATTTTCTCAAATGAATTTGATCACGATAGCTCCTTATTAAAATCAAATTTATAGTGAAGTTATGCAGCACACGGTACATCGCCGCCGGTGATAAACGTGACTGCCTCTCACTCCAAAGGGCCTGGGTTAAATCCCAGTTGGCACCGTCGGGATTTTCTGAGGCATAAAATCACTGATCCCGTTTTCCTTCGGAAGGGCAGTAAAGCCGTCCGCGGTCCATGAGTTTGATGGGTCGATAGGTAGGGTTTAGGTGTAAGAGGTGTGCCCCCTGGCGTCGGTAGCATTGGTACTCAGTACGGAAAACAAGATCGACGGATAAAAAATAAATAAAATAAAGCACACAGAAAGAACCAACAAAGAGTCGTAAAGCTTAATGCGCTATGAACAGTTTCATAAATTAAAAAAAAACACTATCAATGTATTCATAACCGAGCGCACTATAATCCGACATATACGTATTTCCCCACACGTACTGAAACTTGATCCTAGGCGATCGACGACGAGAAGGATGCATGAAGATTGTTTGAGTCTCTTTAACTTGTTTCCTAGCACAAATGAACTTTTATATTTTCCGTCGTAAGATTTCTCAAATTGAGCCATTATTCACATTCTAAATTGATTAAGCCTATATTAACCTTCATGACTGCCTCCCGAGTAACATGCAGTTCAATTTCACTTCTTCACTTAAATTCCGTCTAATGCACTACCATTTGCACGTTACACCCCGATCGATTAATCACTCTCGCCCTAATGCCAGACAACACGCGTGCCTACAACTTTTACTTGCACCCGAAGTCACGATCCGACCGGCGTGGAATAAAAATTGCAACTAATATTGCTTCGCAACCCCAGGTCCAGGTAGCCAATTCCCGAAGGGTTGAGTTTATCGAAGAAAGATCGGCAAAGTAATGAACAGCTTATTAAGTACCTGACGATCGTCTGCTGCGTTGTACAGATGTCGGTTGGTGGATCGAGATGGAGCGAGAACTACCACACTAACAACAGGCGCTCGGGTCAGGTTTCTTCGTTTTCGGTCGATCAGAATAGCGAGGTTGTAGATCTGGAATAACCGCGAATCAATTTATTTTGTTTTTGTTTTATCTTATGGTTTAGTCCTATAAACGCTTATGAAAAGTTAAAAACAATCTTTGAGCTGAAAGCATACCAGCTAAAAATAATCGCCGCACCACAAATAGTGATTAAGTTGATACCCACGTTAATACCGGTAATCATGTTGCTTTTATCATAGTTAATCTATTTAGGGGGCATGACTAAGTGACGTAGCACTTTTATACACATTTGAGATCTCTTCTTCACACCTTAGCTTTTGCAGAGCCCTCCTCCACTCGACAAAAAATGCCACGTCATTTATGAATGGTCCTTTATCCGTTTTACCTCTAGAACAGTAGTTGTAGTGCCAATGTAGAATGACGACGAAGACGATGACGATAAAAAAGCAGCGGTTGAAATGGCAGATCTTGCGAATCAAAAAAATGCGTGTTCATCGTTCAATATAGTGGACTGGTTGTGGAAAGTTTTGATGACCTGTTTTCTGTGTGTGGAAAATTACCCATAGGCAACCTAACTGTTGCGCACGCTGCTTAAGGCACTAACATTCCGTAGGTTGAAAGGTTGAAACACAAAATTTTCAGATTCCAATTCGTCGTTAAAGCGAACCCCACACGTATCAATATATTGACGCGAAGGGGAACTATTGACAATTATATTGATGATGTGAATACAGAATTACTGTCAATACCGATGTATTGACGTCAATATAGAATGTATTGACAATACGATTATTGCCAATAAAAGCAAACGTGTAGGGTCCACTTAACCTTTTGTCTGTATCTTGGCTTCAATATGACCCCAGGCAATTTTTGCAATCTTGATTGTTCATCAAATCTATTTTTTCTCTAACATTTTTACATGCTAAATTCTTCTTGGTATGGCTGTCTCTTAGTTGAGACATATTTCAAATTTTATTTAATACCAGCAATGAACTTAGCTTTAGACAAATTAAGGTTAGAGGTACAGACAAAGGGTTAAAGCAAATTGACGTGTCACATGTTTTTTCCTTCGAAACTACACTGTCCATAAATGAAGAAAAGGCTTATATGCTGTTTTGGTTAAAACCGATAAAATAGTACTACATTACAGATGACACCCAGGTTTACACTGCATACAATTTTCGAAAACAAACGTTTTACATGGATAAACGAGTTTTGTAATTGCTACTTCATGACTGACAAGATCCAGCTTAATTGCACATAATTTAAATCCAAATAAATGAGGCTTGGGATGAGATAAACATCCTTTATGTACTGTACTGGCAATAATAAAGTAATCATCGTAATTTTTTTGCCACTCCAAAAACTTCAAAGTGCTGTAACTTTCCAGTATGTGCATTCACAATTCTATACAGAGCTGGAAAAAGGGCCTATCTGCTTTGATCGATTCTCTTCATCGACTTTCTCTTTCGTTAATAACTCAACTGCAACCACATTCCCTGTTGTATTTGACGATTTGGACGATAGATAAAAACCTCCTTTATCATGCTATGTGACAAAGAAAGCACAAAAGCTGTTTGCATAGCCGTGGTTATCAAAAGAGAAAGTCGATGAAGAGAATCGATCAAAGCAGACTTTGTATGGAATTCTGGAATTTATTTTTGCTGGTGTATCAAAAATTCAAATTTCACATCTTGGTATTATTTTGAATGATTCTGTTTGTAAGAAGTTTGCGTACTTATAGTCAAACGAATCATATTTGCTAACTCTTTTGAAAATTGTTATTTCTTGTAAAATAATGAACCAAATGAATTTTAACATTTTCTGTTTGTAGCCCAAACATTTTTTTCTTTATTATAGAGGATTTCTGCCAGAGGCTGGTTCCCCTCTTTAAAAGAGGAGAGCTTCAAATGAGTGGCCCCCTAGTGTTGGTAATAGCATTGCACAGTGGTCCAGAATGCAGATTTAGGTGGAAGGATAAGTTTTGAGCCTGAAATTGAAATTTTAGACCAAAAATGTATTCTACAAAGCTGTTCCTTATAGTTTGGCCATCATTTTTGTGACAATGACGTAGGACTACGTCTGTGATTTCTATATGGGGGTACACTTTGTGAAAAACCAAAATGGAACAAGTAACAAAATTATGAAAGATTTTGAACGTTAATAACTCAGCTGCCCCTGGACCAATTTCAATAATTTTATCACCAATCGATCAGAAATATTTCTACGCATCTGTTTAATTGGGGCTTCCCTTAGCTCAGTCGGTAAAGGCGCAGCTACAAAGCAAGACCGTGCTGGAGGCGGCTGGGTTCGATTCCCGACCGGTCTAGGAATTTTTCGGGTTGGAAAATTTCTCGACTTCCCTGGGCATAGAAGTATGATTGGACTTGCCACACAATCATATCAATGCAAAAATGGTACAGGCATCGAAAGCTCTCAATTAATAACTGTGGAAGTGCATCTAGAACACTAAGTTGAGAGCACGCAATAAGCTAATATGCGATATGCAATAAGCTTGAAATGCGAAGAAGAAGAAGATCTGTTTAATTGAGGACTTCTTCAAGATGTCACTCTTGAAAATTACACGTACAACTGTTACTATGATAATTCAAATTATCACCGATTGCCTGGGAAAAGCGATTTCCCCAACACAGATTTCATAGTTGAATTCCATCCGGTCTCACCAAACGGTGGTGAGTGGTGATGTTCTCCAGTACACAACGAAAGGCTCCCCACAAGCAGCTTGCTATCAAGGCTGCCCACAACCGCTGATCGAATTCAGTTCCAATCACCGTGTGTGGTGTTGTCCGGTCGTCGGCATCAGCAGCAGCAGCAGCAGTGCTTTAGGCACGTGGCGTTGACATCGTTCTCCAGTACACAACGAAAAGCTGCCTGTAAGCAGCGAGCTGCAGCCCACATAAGCATCCATAGAAGGAAGAAGAAGCCGCACCGCTATTGATCGGAATCAGTAGCTCTTCGTGAGTCGCTGTGGACCATCTTTGTCAAACGCGTCATACAAAAGAGTGTAAACAGAGAGAACCCCGCTCAAATTCCTATTCCTGCACAAAACACAAGCTCCAGCTGCAGTTAACAAATAAGATTTATTAAAGGGTGTCCACGATGAAATTGCCACACTATGAACTTGCTCTAACTTTTTAACCGTTGGGTAGAATATAATGAAAATTTGGGTGGATTTAGTTCATAGTGCATTATTTACATCCTGCAAGTTTTAAAGTCCTGTGATCAAAACTCGCGGAAATGGAGTCGAAAGAACAGCTCGTGCGTGATAAAATCTTGCGCATTCATCACGAGAACAAGGATCTCTCGCATCGTTCCATCGCTCAAACGTTGGGAATCGCGAATTCCACGGTGTCGCGAGTGATTAAGCGGTTCGAGGAACGGTTGACCACCGATCGGAAGCCCAGAAGTGAAGGAAAAAGTATTCCGTATAACACCAAAAATCACAACCGCGTAGTTGGGGCCTTCAACCGAAATCCGAACGCCTCCGTTAGGGATGTGGCTAAGAAGCTGCACCTAAGCCGAAGTTTTGTCCAGAAGGCCAAAACTAAGGCTGGGCTTCGAACGTTCAAGGTACAAAAGGCCCCTAATCGCGACGAGAAGCAGAACAAGTCCGCCAAAACCCGTGCCAGGAAGTTGTACCTCAACATGCTGACGAAAGTTGAATGCTGCATCATGGACGACAAAACATATGTGAAGGCCGACTTCAAACAGATCCCCGGCAACCTGTTTTTCACGGCCAAGGATAAGTTCAGCGTTCCGGAGCATGTCCGCACTCAGAAGATGTCCAAATTTGCGAAGAAATTCCTGGTTTGGCAAGCCATCTGCACGTGCGGGAAGCGGAGTGCACCTTTCGTGACCCAGGACACGATGAACGGACAGGTGTACATAAAAGAGTGCCTCCAGAAGCGGCTGCTTCCTCTCCTGAAGGCCCACAACGTCCCAACAATCTTCTGGCCGGATTTGGCCTCATGCCACTACTCCAAGGACGTGCTGAAGTGGTATGCGGACAATAAGGTCAATTTCGTGCCGAAAATGTTCAACCCTCCCAACACTCCGGAGCTCCACCCCATCGAGAAGTACTGGGCGATTATGAAGCAGCACCTTCTTAAACGACCTAAGACAGTGAAGACAGTCGAGGAACTGAAGAAAGTATGGGTTTACATGCAAAAAACGGTTGATTCACAGGTTGTGCAGAATCTTATGGCCGGGGTTAAGGCCAAGGTGCGGGCATTTGCGTATGGACTGTAAATAAAATACGAGTAAAATGGTAAAATGAAGTTTAATAGTTATTTCTCAATCCCTGAAAATTTGATGGCAATCGGATGAAAACTCGAATTTTGCGAATCAATTTTGTGTGTGGCAATTTCATCGTGGACACCCTTTATATAAGACCAAGTAGTCCTACGTCACCATTGCGTACAACCCCATAGGGCTGTCCCTTGTAGTTTTTTCTTTGATTTGTTTTCCGTCGATCTTGTTTTCCGTACTGAGCACCAATGCTACCAACGCACACTGGGGATTTTGCTTAACAAAAAGGTTTGAAATTGTCTGCCGCTGAAACCACACATTGTAACACATGACTTCCTTTGGGAAAAATGTCAATCGGCGCACGCTGTGATAAGTGCATGTTTGGAGCCTATTTTTCCCCTATATCCTACATTTTCTGTAGTTCTTTCCCATTATGATACTTCACTGATTCAAATAGTCAGTACCTCTTATCTCAGAATTAGCCATCTTGTCTTCTATTATTCAGCTTATGCCTTCTAAAAACTATTGATAACATGCCCACACGAAGGGAGACCCGACGACGAGAAAGAGGCGTTGTATGCGCAGCTGGAGCAGATTTACGACGGCTGTTCGCTACGGGACGTCAAAATCGTCATCGGCGACAT